AGGAATAGCGTTTGACTACTGCGTCGTAAAGTGCTTTGGTTGTCTTAAGCCGGCAAAAATGAGAGCGGTCGGGCGGAATGTGGTTACGGACAGCAAGGGCTGCACTGGCATCATGAGCGGTCCACTGAGAACGAACTTTCTGGTCTGTGGACTTAGTATGGCTACCGACAGACCCAGAATTATGCTCAAACAGTGAGATATCCTCCCCAGTAATTCCTCGAGCCAGTTCTCAAAATCCATCGGGTGCCCCTCGGCATCAAAGGTGAGCAAAGTAGGAGTAGCCATAGCAGCAGTAGCGGTAGTGGCAGCAGCAACAGCGCTTAGGAGCAACAGCATGGCAGTGCTTCTACGTAAGGGCAGGGTAGCGCGGCTTGGGCAGGGTAGCGCGGCTTGGGCAGGGCACAGCGCAGCAGCGTGTGCAGTCGCAGCAGTGGCAGCAACGCGCTTAGCAGCATCAGCAGCGCTTAGCAATAGCAGCAGCTCTGGACAGCAGTGCGCTTAGTAGCAGCAGCAGTGCTTAGCAGTAGCAGCAAAGCATGCAGCAGTGGCAGCAGTACGCTTAGCAGCAGCAGTAGCAGCAGCAGCAGCGCTTAGCACCAGCAGCAGTGCATGCAGTAGTAGCAACTGCAAAAGTGACAGCAGCAGCAGCGCGCAGCAGCGCGAACGGGCAGGGAGCAGGCAGGATGCACGTGGGGTGCGCGCGGGCAGGGCGTAGGCCGGGCGCAGGCTGCTGGCGGGCAGCGCGTTTGCGGGGCAGAGCGCACTGGCAGGGCCGGCAAAATGCGTGCAGGCAGCGCGCGTGTGGGCAGCAGGGTGTGCGTGTAGTGCACGTGGGCAGGCAGAGTGGCGCAGCTGCAGACAAAGCGCGCGCGGGCAGGGCGGCGCTCAGGCAGGGCAGTGGGGCACGCGGATTGGGCAGCGAGGCTAGGCAGTAAAACAAAAAACGTCACGCTGTAAGAATCCTAGCATAAGTGGTAGTTGAGATTTAAGGCGGGCCTAGGCTTAGTAGCCTAGGCCCAGAGGAAGACGAGGAGTTTGTGCCAAGGTGAGAGTGTCGAGAGAATTGGAAAGGTGAATGTTCACTATAGTGCTAGGGTACATATAGTAAACAGAGCATGCAAAGAAGGTGCACCGCCAACAGTTTATAATAACTACACTAAAGTACAGCTACAGGCAGTTACATATAAATTCTGACACTCCCCCATAACTGCCTGCAGCAGGAGTTTGTGCAGAACACAACCTGCAGGGGTACACAAGCAACAGCAACAGCAGGTACGGTAACAGAGCAGGTACAGCACCAAAGGGACAGGCGACAGCAAGAAATTTCTGCCACCCCCTTACTCTCTTCCCCCCCCAACCACAGGAGGGGCAGCAGGGAGAGTGAGGAGGCGGGCTGGCTCTGGCTGGTCACCCCCTCCATCTCCTCACCCTCCCCCTCCCCCTCCCCCCCACACTGCTGCAGGAGCAGCAGAGGGGGGAAGAGAGGAGAGGTGGAGGGACGGCTGCTGGTTGGTCTCACACCCGCCACCCCAGTGCCACTCCCCCGGCTCCCCCACACCCTCACACCCTCCCCCCCAGTAGCAGCTGCAGCAGTGGGAACGAAAGGAGGAGGAGGGGAAGGGAAGCACACCACCCATCACCCCAACACCTGCCACCCCCATACCCTCTCCCCCACGGCTGCAGGGAGACGAAGGAGGAGGGGGTGGGCGGGGAGAAAGCCGCAGAGCGGCTACAGAGGGTCGGCGCAGGTAGGTCAGGGGCGGCTGCAGGGAGTGCAGGCGCGGGGTGAGGCAGAGGCACCGCCGAGTGCGCCAGGGGCGGGTACTTGGCGGTTCAGGACACTGTCGCAGGCGCCAGAGGGCGGTTCCGCGGCGGCTCAAGGGCACCGTCGCGCATGCCACGAGGCGCACGTTGAGCAGGGCACCGTCGCGTGCCACGGGGCGCACGACGGGCAAGTTTAGGGCACCGTCATGTGCCACAAGGCGCACGACGGGCAGAGCAGCGTCTCGTGCCACGGGGCGCGCGACGGGCAGAGAAGATGTCATTCGCCACCCGGGGGCGGGACAGGACGAAAATCACCACGCGCCCGAGGCGCGCGACCGGAAAAACAGCAGCGGAAGCATAAGGCGGGCCCACAGGCCAGGACGAAACACGCTCTAATGCCATGTCAGAATCCTAGCATAAGTGGTAGTTGAGATTTAAGACGGGCCTAGGCTTAGTAGCCTAGGCCAAGAGGAAGACAAGGAGTTTGTGCCAAGGTGAGAGTGTCGAGAAAATTGGAAAGTTGAATGTTCACTATAGTGCTAGGGTACATATAGTAAACAGAGCATGCAAAGAAGGTGCACCACCAACAGTTTATAATAGCTACACTAAACTACAGCTACAGGCAGTTACATATAAATTCTGACACACGCGCCTAGGGGCGCGATTCGGGCAGGAACGAACGGTGGGCCCTTTTAAAAATTAGGTCCTAAGGACCTACTAGCTCTTAATACCATGTTAGAATCATGTGAGAAGTAAAAGTGTCAATTAGGTTGGGGAGGGGGGTACAAGTGAGAATGACGAGGTGAATTGTGTACCCCCTAAGGCTAGTCCCTATATAGCCTAGATAACATAGAACATATATGTTTTGACATCTTGTTCTCTTTCAACCACTATTGAACAATGTCATTACAAGACTTTATTGTCTTCCTACGACTTAGCAACTCTTATTCTATCCACTATGATTCCCGGTTATATCAACAGGACGAAACCTCTTAAACGAGTTCAATACATAATTTATAATGAAAAGGTCCTCTCAAACGGTTTGTTAGTAGATGAACAGAATCACGAATCTTAGAGGCCTCCGCGAGAGTCCCTTTTAGATTAAATATGCAAGAGTTACGTCTCAAGAAATATAAATTCCTATAGTTACCATTCACGTGATTATTTCGTAATACGAATAGTGAAATATGATTGCGCACTCCTAACCGCAGCTAAGTGAAGCACGCATTATCGAGAATGAACGTGAAGAGTCCGAATTGACTCGAAGCGACCCAGACAGTTGGAATGGATATGGACCGTCGGAGCAGATGACATCGGGCAGCTGCCGGAGCGAGAGAACTAGCGGGAACAAATTTGTAATTGTACGCGCCGCACGGGTGGGTTTGAATTTGAATACATGGCTAGCTAGGTCGTTTCGTATTCCCTTGTACTACTTCTTATATGTTTGTATTTGCATGTTTTTATTATCTCAAACATTTTACATTCACTCTGTTTGAGGTCAAGGGCCCACCACTACCAAGCAGTTGAGTGCGAACCTTACCGAGGTGATCCTAGGGTCGATCAACTTCTGATCGTAGCATGGTATCAGAGCGACTCGAGAATCCTTCGCACTGCCTCCTCCGAAACCTTCGGCGAACGAAAGGTGCCGCCCGACACACGATCGCGTATAAGGATGCCAGGGGATTTGGTGGTCAGACGAAACTGGCGCTGAAGCGCAGTCCAACCTGGCTGCGACAAACGAGGAAATGACGACGATCGTGACGAGAAGTGAGAATGGAATGAATGAACTATGAAACAGTTGGGTACAAGTACTAACCCTAATTGGGTTGTACCCCTTATGGGCTACCCCACTACAGCCTACACAAATGTATAAGCTATAATGTTCTGACACACCCCCATAGGCAAAGTGGGGGAGAACAATTGGTCACAAGACCAGTCAAGCAAAGCAAAGCAAGCTCAGGGTGGATCACAAAGTCACCACACAGTCCAAGCACCAAAGTAAGGCCACAAGGCCAGTTCACATGCAAGGTCATATATATAAAGGTAAAACAAGCAAGGGCAGGTATAGAAAGAAGATAGTACAAACAAGATCAAGAAGTGAGCAAGTGAGGCCAGGTAGGCACAAGACCTAGCACAGTACAGAAGCGCTGATGATCACAAGGCGGAAGGGCCTTGGTGAATATATCAGCAGTGTTGGCCTCAGAGGCCACGTAGGTGAGGCGGAGCTGACCACGCTGCTGCAGTTCACGAGACAGGAAGTAGCGGAGAGCAACGTGCTTCGTTCTGTGCTCCATTCTGTGCTCCTGACACAAGGCCAGCATGGCCTTGTTGTCTACATACAGAACTGGAGGAGAACGAGGCGGCTCTCCTAGGTCGGTCAGCAGGTAGGTAAGCCAGCGTAGCTCCTGAGCAGCCATGGCCCCTGCGTAGATTTCAGCCTCACAGCTGGAGCCGAGAACAGAGGACGAGCAGGTAGACCGCCACGAGACAGAGCCGGAGCCAAGACTGAAGGTATAACCCTGTGACGACCGCTGCGTAGCCTGGTCGTCAGCCCAAGAAGCGTCAGCGTGACCTGTGAGGACTACTCGACGTCGCCCTCCAAGCACTAGCCCCATGCCCGAACTACTGCACACGTAGCGCAACACCCTCTTCGCTGCAGCCATGTGCTCTGGTCTGTGTCTCCCAGGAGCAACATAGCGTGCCAAGATGCTAAGAGGGTATGCAAGGTCAGGTCGTGTGCAGGTCATCAGGTACATGAGGCAGCCAACAAGCTCTGGGTACGGGCCACTTGACTCTACGGACTCATCCGAAGGTAGAGCTGAGAGCGAGTGGCGAGTAGACAGAGGAGTGGCCTGAGGCGAGGAGTACGTGAAGCCAAAGCGCTAAAGGACCTGCTGCACCATGTGTGACTGAGTCAGGGTGATGGTGCGCTGTGCTCTGTCCCGGATGATCTGCAAGCCAAGGTAGCTGCGCAGTTCACCCAAGTCTGTGCACGTGTGTCTCTTCTACAGCTCGGACTTCACGTGGGCGAGTCCAGCAGTGTCAGCAGTGGCAAAGACCAGGTCGTCGACGTACACGAGGATGTTGAACGTCGGCAAAGAGGTGTTGGTGCGTAGAAACAGCGACGGGTCGGCTGTAGAAGGAGCAAACCCAAGAGCCACAAGTGTAGTCCTCAGTGTGTCGTGCCACTCACGGGGCGCCTGGCGGAGACCGTAGATTGGCCGCCGGAGGCTCCACTATGTGCCAGGAGGAAACGACCCAGTGAAGCCAGGAGGGCGTCGTAGCCAGATCTCCTCGTGCAGGCTGCCCTGCAGAAAAGCAGTGCTGAAGTCAAGAGAGTGAAGCTCGTAGTTGCGCTGAGCGGCTATGTGCAGCAGCACCCGAAGAGTGGTCATCTTTGGGGTGGGAGAGAAGGTCTGAAAGTAGTCAACTCCCTGCCGCTGAGAGAAGCCTCGAGCCACGTAACGCGCCTTGAAGACAGGCGGAGAGTTCGGCGGCCGCTTCACCCTGAAGATCCACATCCCACTGACGATGTTCGCCCCAGGTGGGGGAACTTCGTCGACGTAGGTGCCTGTGGATTTCCAGGAAGCCATCTCTGCGTCCATGGCTGACTGCCACTGAGAGGAGTAGGGACCCTCGATCGCCTCCGCGTACGATCGAGGAGTCGGGATGTCTCGTGCATCCGTGTCTCCCTCAGGGGCAATCAGCGTGGACACGAGATGGGGCAAAGCAGCCGCAAAGCACTGGAACTCCTCCTGCCTGTCCTCAAGGACGTCCGTGCTACGAGCACACTCACCCCCGACGGATGGAGGACAGACAGACTCAGACTCAGCAACAAGACTGGCAGCGTAGTCTAGACGAGAGCGAGCAGCGAAGTCGACAAGCTCAGCAACTGAAGCAGACGCAGCAGCAGACTCAAAGGAAGGGTCAGTGACGATAGTAGCAAGAAGGCGCGTGACCGAAGGACTAGCAGCACGAAGGGAGTCAGACTCCGGGTCAGCAAGAGAAGGAAGAGAGGACTCTGGAGGAGACGGCAACGGGACACGCAGAGGAGCAGTGGAAGGACGCAGTGCCATCTGGTGTGTGCCGGGGACCGCAGGAGGACGCGGACGTGCAGTACGACCACTAGTGCGAGCAGCACGAACTGGTTACGCGGGACGAGACGCAGGCTCACGACGCTCAGCAAGACCTCCAGAAGGACCAGTGTACGGAGGAGCAGGTAGAGGGGAGGCGGGCGGTAACTGTGACTGCGACTGGACAGGCGTTGGACACTCTAGGGGAGGAGCAGGACCAGTAGAGGGCAGGAGACCAAGAACCTGCTCTAGGAGCGGAACGAAGTATGGCCTTGGCCGCTCAGCGCCTCCAAAACCAGCAAGTACGGCACCAGTACCCCCAGCGGCAGCACCAGCGCCAGCAGAACCTCCAGCTTCAACAGCGCCAACTCCAGTACCCTCAGAAGCACCAGCGCCAGCAGCACCGCCACCGCCAACACCCCCAGCAGCTCCAGCTCCAGCAGCACCAACTCCAGTAGGACCGTCAGCACCAGCTGCCTCAGCAGCACCCCCAGACGCACCAGCACCAGTAAAAACACCAGCGCCAACACCCCCAGAAGCTCCAGCTCCAACAGCACCAACTCCAGTAGGAATGTCAGCACCAGCTGCCTCAGCAGCACCCCTAGACGCACCAGCACCAGTAGAAACACGAGCGCCAACACGCCCAGAAGCTCCAGCTCCAACAGCACCAACTCCAGTAGGACTGTCAGCACCACCTGCCTCAGCAGCACCCCGAGACGCACCAGCACCAATAGAAACACCAGCGCCAACACCCCCAGCAGCTCCATTAGTACCCCCAGACTCAGCAGCACGTCTCCAGCGGCGAGGGACCCACACGCGCAGCTCTTGTGGAGAGAGCGGCTCCCGCCTCGACGAAGTACCGCCGGCGGCCACACGGGCAGACCCAGCACCCCCAGGCTCCGCACCCCAAGGCCTAGCACCCCCAGGCCCAGCACCCCCAGGCTCAGCACCCCCAGACTCAGCACCCCCAGACCCGGCACCCGCAGACCCGGCCCCCGCAGGCTCAGCACCTCTAGCAGCACCAGAGTCAACAGCTACCTTGGCAGGCTCGACTGCGTCTACCTGGGACACACCTCAAGGGGCAGGACCCTGAGGAGGGAGGGGGTCTACCTGGGTAGCTCCTGGCGCAAGGAAGAGCGGCGGGGGGGGGGAGGGGCGCAGTGCGGTAGGGGAAGAGACGGTAGTAAGGCACCGACTCGTCAAAGGTGACGTCCTGGGAGGACAGAACACGGCGCGTGGTGGGGTGGTAGAACCGCCACCCAGGCGCGTCAGGGGGAAGCCAAGGAAGACGCAAGGAACAACACGGGGGGACAGCTTGTCCGCAGACAAGTCGCAGTCAAACGCCCGAGATCCCCAGACCCGAAACGCAGACGCATCGCCAACCTTCCTAGTCCACCGGAAGGCGGGGAAGGTCTCTGGCAAGGAGACCCGGGGCTGAAGGTTGAGCTGATGCGCGGCGTACTGAACCGCAAACGGCCACAGAAAATGGGTGGAAGCCGCATGCATCATGGACGTACGCGCGACGTCCATGACCATACCAATGCGGCGCTCAGCAATCCCATTTTGCTGTGGAGAGGCTGGAAGCGTGAAGGTCTGGCGGATGCCCTGTGCCCGACAGAAGGCTCCCAGACGGGCAGAGGAAAACTCCCCTCCTCTGTCTGAGTGCAGACGCAAAACAGGAAAGTCCGAGCCGAAACTCTCTCTGAGCTGGAGACGAGCTGCACGGATCCAGTCGATCAACACCTCAGTGACGTCACCCTTGCTGCGCAAGGGGAAGACTGTGGTGTAACGCGAGTAGTCGTCAACGACCAGCAAAAAGTACCGCTCTCTCCCCTGCCCACTAACGCGGGCTGGGCCCCACACGTCCATGTGTAGAGTCTACAGCGGAGCCTCTTCAAAGGAAACTCAGAGGAGTGAGGGGCGGCGCGCTGTCGCCCCTCGACGCAGGGGACGCACGTAGGGCCAAGCCCCGGAGGTAGGGGAGGGAGAGACCGAGGAAGACCAGAGACAAGGACACGGGAGGCCATGCCTCGGAGACGAAGCAAGGAGGGGTGACCAAGGCGGTGGTGCCAAAGGAGAGTCTGGTGGGACAGCAGACGACACGAGCAGGGGGCAGACTCAGGACCAGCCCTGGACGCCGCAGCAAACACCTGACTGGACGCAGCTACCTGGGCAGACTCAGCAGTAGGAGGAGACTCAGCAGTAAGGGTGTACAGGCTCGACCCTGGCCAACGGGTGAACGTGGCCAAGTGTCGGCGTGTCCGAGCACACCTGCAGTGGGTCACTCGCTGACTCGCAGGAGTGAACTGGTCAACCCCTCCATCCTGTAGGTCCGCTCCACTCACCAAGTTCGTAGAGAACGAGGGGAGGTAGAGACTAGACAGGGTGTCAGAGGGGGCTGCAGGGCACGGAAGGAAAGTGGAGAAGCTAGCAAGGACTGGACCCCCGGAGGGGTCTTCTAGGGAGAGTGCAACCGGCCGACTAAGCGGCGTAAGACTAGTGCGGTCTCGAAAGAAGGAGCGGGACGCACCCGAGTCCAGGGTGAAGGTGTGGAAGGCCTGAGCCTACGTAGTACCTGAGAGAGCAGACTCACCAGCACCTGGGGCGGTAGATGCACTGGCACCTGGGGCAGCAGACGCACTAGCACCTAGAGCAGCTGTCTCACCAGCACCTAGCGCAGCAGCCTCAATGCCCGGGTCAGGCGGTACACACAGGTAACAGGCACCCTCAACACTATCAGCAACAGCATACATGGCAGCAAGAATAACATCAAAGTCAAGATCAAAGATAGCAACCCCGGCCTTAGCCAGATCTTCCCAGCGAGGGATCTCTGACGCCTCAGGGAACGGGCGACGCCACGCGTCCGTCAGGCGACCAAAGCAGCGCTGGGTGGAGTGCGGACCTCCGCACTGCTCACCAGTGCGGTCGCCGGTACGGAGAACGTAAGAGCAGGGACCAAAACCCCCACCGCGCTGGCGTGCAGTGTACCACTCACGAAGCTGCTGAGGGGACCGGGTCACACCACTCCGGTGCTGCTGCTGGCGCTGACCACCACCGGTGCCACTCCTCGGCGCAGAGTCGCGACTTGCTCCAACACCGCCGCCTCTGCCTCCGCCGCGCCTCCGCCGCCTCCTCCACCTCCGCCTTCTCCACTACCTATGCCGCCTCCGCTCCCTCCCCCACTTCCACCGCCTCCGCCGCCTCCACTGCTGCCGCCGCCGCCGCCACCCCCAGCACCACTCCCACCACCACCCCCACTCCCTCCACCGCCTCCACCACCACCTCCACCGCCCCCTCCACCCCCTCCAGTGCCCTTGCCCCCCTTGCCCTTGCCGGTGCGGCGTCTCCCGCTCGGGGCAGACGCAGCGCCGACTGACTCGAAACCAACGAGGTCGGCCGCAGCAGCAGAGGCAACAGAGGGAAAGAGGGGGGAGGGAGAACACCCCTCAAAGACGGGGGTGCGAGGGTCACCACGAGAGGCTCCTACAACAACTATGCTCTTCTCTATCGCTAGGAGGGCGTTCTCGAGGAGGTCAACGGTGAGAGTGGTGGGGCAAACAGAGAGGAAGTGGTCCCTGATTACACGGAGAGAGTCAGGGAGACGGGTGACTATGTAGTAGAGGGTGATGTATATGGGGGGGGGGGGGGTTCTTGGCACAGAATTCAGCAGGAAGCGCAGCGCAGTAGCGAGTGTCACTAGTGCGGAGGTGCCTAATGAGGTCAGCGACAATGGGAAAGGCAGCAAGGTCAGGGAAGAGGTACGGTAGCATGAGGCGGCTCAGTGCAGTAGTGGCAGGGGAAGAGTAGCGTGCAACTACAGCATCGTACAAGGTCTGAGCACTCTTGTACTGGCTAATGTGTGCACGCTTAGTGGTCGGTAAGTGGCGGCGCACAGCAAGGCGAGCAGCAGCGTCACGTGTGGCCCACTGTGAGCGAACAGTGGCGTCAGCATCAGCAGCAGGGGGAGGGGAGGCACCAGAAGTGAGGTCAAACAGGGAGAGGCCGTCTGCCCTATCGCACTGCAGGAAAAGCTGCAGATCATCTACCCAGACCTCAAAGTCCACTGCCCGACCCTCAGCGTCAAAGGTGAGAACGCTAGGGGAAGCCATAACAGCAGTAGGCAGGGCAGTGCAGTGGCAGAGACTGTGCTCTTCCGAGGTAGGTGGAGCGATTGCGCTACTCGGCGGCTCTGCTGTCGGGCGGCTCTGCTGCAAGGCGGCTCGGCTGCTGGGCGACTTAGCTGCTGGGCGGCTCGGCTGCTGGGCGGCTCGGCTGCACAGTGGTGGGCGGCTCGGCTGTCGGGCGGCTCGGCTGCTGGGCGGCTCGGCTGCCGGGCGGCTCGGTTGCTGGGCGGCTCGGGCGATCAGGCGGCTCAGCTGGCTGGCGGTTCGGCTGCTTGGCGCTGCGGGCGCTGGGAGGCGGGGTTGCAGGTGGTGGCGAGGTCGCAGGTGGCGGCGTAGCGGGGCCACAACCGGGCCGTAGCGGGCCTAAGCGGGGCCGTAGCGGGGCTGACGGGGCCGAAGCGGGTCCCAAGTGGGGCCATAGAGGGGCCGACGGGGCCGAAGCGGGGCCGCGACGAGGCCATAGCGGGGTCGTAGCGGGGCCGCAGCGGGGCCTAAGCGGGGCCGACGGGGCCGAAGCGAGGCCTGAGCGGGGCCGCGACGGGGCTGACGGGGCCTAAGCGGGGCCGACGGGGCCTGCGCGGGGCCACGACGGGGCCGACGGGGCCTAAGCGGGGCCGACGGGGCCGTAGCGGGGCTGTAGTGGGGCCGACGGGGCCGACGGGGACGTAGCGGGGCCGTAGCGGGGCCTGAGCGGGGCCGATGGGGCCGACAGGGCCGTAGCGGGGCCGTAGCGGGGCCGTAGCGGGGCCTAAGCGGGGCCGACGGGGCCGTAGCAGGGGCCTAAGCGGGGCCGACGGGGCCGTAGCAGGGCCGTTGCAGGGCCGTAGCGGGGCCGTAACGGGGCCGTAGCGGGGCCGTAGCGGGGCCTAAGCGGGGCCGACGAGGCCGTAGCGGGGCCTAAGCGGGGCCGACGGGGCTGTAGCGGGGCCGTAGCGGGGCCGTAGCGGGGCCTAAGCGGGGCCGTAGCTGGGCCGACGGGGCCTAAGCGGGGCCGTAGCGGCCTAAGCGAGGCCGTAGAGGGCGGCTCGAGGGGCAGTAAGGGCGGCCAATAGGAGCCACTAAGGCGGCTCGAGGTGCTACTCGGGTTAGGAGCTAAGCGCGCTCCGGGCAGGAAAAAAAAGTTCGTGGTGGGCCCTAGGCAGTATTCCCACTCGGGAACCTGCTTGATACCATGACGAGAAGTGAGAATGGAATGAATGAACTATGAACTAACCTTACTTGGGTTGTACCCCTTATGGGCTACCCCACTACAGCCTACACAAATGTATAAGCTATAATGTTCTGACAGATCGGGACCGCCGCCCTCGCACAATTGCTTCAGCGACTCACCAGTCTGGAGCAAGGACTCCAAACATTGTGGAATGGCAACGTGGTAACATCCTCCCAACCGCCTCAACCAGCCTCGAATGGCCAGAACACCGCCCTGCACACCTTCTCTCTTGACACAAATGGCTAAACTCCCAAGACCCCCCGTCTCAGCGAAATGGCAATTCCCTCTGCGCAATCAAGGTTTCTGAGTATATCAAAAATATAGACAAGTGTCTATTTTTACGGCAGAGATTTTTATTCCTGGAGCTTCGAGCTGGAGCTTTTGCTGCAGAACGCGCAGATATCCACTATTTCGACAGGAGCTGCGCGGAACCTGCCGAGGACACCGCTGACGCCAGGACCCATTACTACAACGACTCCTTGATGGCGTACGGCGTTCTCCTACTGTACATGTCGCCGGCAGAGCAGTTGAGCATTTGCTCATACAAGACATCACCTGCTCTAGCTCTCGACGCTTGGCACCACCTAAACGGTGTTTATCAACCAAAGAATTCGGTTTCTCCGAGCCGCCTGCTCTAGCAGCTACTGGAGACGAAAATGGCCCCAGGGGAGAAGGCCAATAGCTACATCATGTCAACGGGAGTTGTATGTTGGCCCCGTCCTCGCTTGGGCGGAGCCGACTTCGTGGTCGGGTGTGAGGGGAGCAGCCGACCTACGGCAGTGGGCGAGCTGGTTGACGAGGAGGTCGAACTGCACGGGGACCACTGCATGGGCGCCGACTTTAGGGTGGCGCCGACTTCAGGGAGGTCGACCTGGTAGTTGGTCGACTGACTGGTCGGCTGACTTGGGTGGCCGGCTGACAGGACTACTGGTCGACCTGGTAGTTGGTCGACCAGACCTGCTGGTCGACTTGCTCGTGGTCAAACTAACCTGGTGGTCGACGAAGGAGGGGCCGATGTCGACCTCGACTTAGGACGTCGAGCAATTGGGCGTCGAGTAGCTGGGCGTCAACTTGGTGACGCCGACTTCAGGTAGCCGACTCGGGTGGTCGAATGACAACTGCACTGATCAACATGAAGTTGGTCGACCAAGAGTGCTGGTCGACGTGGAGCTGGTCGACCAGGAGTGACGTCGACCTGGAGTTGGTCGACCAGGGGCGTGGTCGACCTGGTGAGGTCGACTTGGGGTGGTCGTCGACTTAGGAGGTCGACGAGCACATACGGGAGCATCTGGTCGACGTGGTTGCCCAGTCGACCAGGTTACCTGGGTGATGAGGTTTTGTGGAGGAGTGCGACGGTCGCCCAGGCAAAGTTGGCGAGTCCGACCTCGGTGGTGGTATCCCGAGGTCGACATGGCGGATCGGGTGGAGTCGTCAGCACGAGGATGACTTGGTGTGTGCGTTGTGCAGGTGACGAGGCTCAGCCCGCCAATCATCTGCGAGCACCTGCGAAGCGGGTGTGCTGCTGTTCTGCGGGAGCAATGTTGGCACGCCGTCAACCTGCGAGGTTGGCACGCCGTCGACTTTGCACTATTGGAACGCGGTCGGCCGTGCTACGCTGGCAGCCGACCGACCTAAATGCTAGCTCCGATGTAGTCTTGCCATGCCAACTTCATTGTATCATTGTCGTCGGCTTTTTCTAGTGAAACCCTTGCCAATTTGCCCCGTGAACTAGCAAGCAGTGTGTGCACTAGGAAAACGACAAAGGACCAACGAACGCAGAGATCACATGAGCACCCGTGCCTAGCCCGTAGTCTAGCTCCCGTTGTAGTAGTTATCTCCGAACATCAATCGCTGTTGGAGCCTCCGCGATCAAATCGCGAAGTTAGGAAGCAGTTTTTCCGAAGAAATATTCGTAAATATTGTGCTTCAAGGGCTTGGCCCAGAGTGGCGGCCCTGCAAGGCGCTTCTCTGACAGCAGGGGGTCATCTCGGAGGCCGCTCTTTGCGCCGCCTTTTTCGTCGAACAGAGGAACATGGACTAGCAGCGACCAGCGCCGCGACGAGACCGGGAATGCCTCACCTTCTACGCTAATAATGCTGAAGAGCGACGGTCGCGGCGCCTTTACTGCAAAATTTGCTGAAACTTTGGGCACCTGGCAGATCGATGCAAGTCCCGTCTCGCACTCGCCAGACAAGACACATGAAGTGACATGCAACCAGCCCAGGGGTACCAACCCCCATCGCGTAATCTAAACCCAGCGGTTCAGCATCAGCAGCGGCAGCCGTCGCCGCATACCCCAGCGCGCAACGTAATGAGGAATATGTCCATGACAGGCGGATCTCGTCGCCGCGTACGCTCACCGTCACCAGAGCCAGCACCTCACCTAATCAGCGCGTTCTCCAACAACAACCCATTCAGCACGCGCCACGACTTCAGCGACGACGACAATCAAGATTGGAACCTCCCAATTCTGCTGCTTGAAAGCCCCCCACACGTACCTGATACGCGGGCGGCGCCACTCGATTGGCTCTTCCGCGAGCGATTCTTGAAGTTTAACACACCGCACATCGTCACGCCGCGTCTGGCGCTGCTCGCACATGACGACAACAAGCGCTACAACACTTGGTACCTGGACTGCTGTTGCGTCCAACACATGGTGGGCTCCGAGCTTTCCTCTCCAACGCCGTCCCAGCTCCCACGGTCACCTACGTCACCGTGGCGAACACGCCTACGCGCAAGCGCGCAAGGTATCGTCGTGCTCAAAACACGGGGAAGGCGCACGCACATCACACTCAACGATATGCACATCGTCCAGAACCTGCGCTTCAACCTGCTTTCCGCCGCTCAACTCTTGGATTGCGGCGTCAAACTCAGCACGGACTGCGAAACACGCAACATCCTACTACACTACGCATCGTTGACCTCAAATCGCAGGCAGATTGGAAGAGCGCACTCTGAAAACAGAGTATATATTATTGATTTCAACATTCCCGACAGCAGCAGCGATTCGAACGAGCTGATTGATCTCGTTTCACTGCACTTCGAGCATTTTCACCGCATGGACTGGAAGCATCCTGACAAGAGGCCGCAGGTGCCGCATCACCCTCACCCACGCGAGTCGGCGCTGCACGATCCTGACCCAGATGGCATCTTCAGAGACTGCCAGACGCCACCGCCTCAACTAGCGCGATTACTGGCCGCGGTCTCGCCGCCATCGCCGAAGCTCAGCGCGACGCGCCACTAGAAGAAGGCATGTCTAATTTGGAGCTCGAAATCCCAACGCGCGGTGTGTTCGGAATGGCGAAACATCCCATCACCTGACCAGCTTCACAACACATTTTGGGCATGTTGCGGGGCACTGGTGTTGGCACCTTCGATGCACACGGCGAGCCGTGACCTTACACAAAGAAGAAGTGTATGGAGATCTACTCCCATTGGCGCGAATCCACGAAGAAACTTACTGTGGAGCAGGAAGAGGAATTGGCACGCCGCGAAGCAGAAGAGCTTCGCCGACAGAGCATCGCCGAAGCGCGCGGCACTTTTGCATGTGACGCATGGGGCGTAGAAGAAGAGAGCGCCTTCAATGAAGGGGGGTGAGGAAGCGTTGGCGGATGGGGAATGAGCGACACTGGTGGATGGGGCAACACCGCCGGTACCTGGGCTAGCGCTAGTGGCGGATGGGGCACCGCATTTGGCGGCGAAGGCAGCGGCTGGGGCACTTCTGGAAGAAATTGGGGAACTTCCCGCGAAGAACAAAGGGGGGAAGAAGAAGTAG